GGGGGGGGGGGGGCCTCTGTCGGAGGCCGAGGGGCGAAGGCGGGTGCCTTCGCCAGGCTCCATCAGAGAGACTAGCAGCCTCAGTGCCCCAACCCAGGGAGGGGTTCCAGAAACCCACTGTCCCCCTCGCGTCTTTGAGGCGCTAAGGAATAATCAAATATTTATAAAACTTCCTGCAAGACGCTTCACCAAAGAATATGCTTCTTATCAGGTCGGAAATTTGCCAAAAAGCCATAAATAATTGAGACAGCTGTGATTAACCTCTGAAACCATACGAGGATTCGCAATTAAACATTTAATTGAATGGTCACGTTGTCCAGTCCCGCGACACCCCCCCACCCCAACCCTCCTTGTTCCAGAGAACAGAAGGTTTGACAGAGACAAACTCCAAAGCCCACCCAGCTGAGGAGCCCCCCACTCGGTCAGGGAGCCCCACCTTGATGTGAAGGCTTTACCCCAGGTTTCAAGCTCAGGTCTGGGATTGCCTCCCGCCCAGAGCAGTTTCTGGGGGTGTCAAGTTCCCTTCTAAACGCTTGCTCCGCCCGCCCCTTGATTTAAGCCCTGACTGTCCTGGGTTTACGATGGCGCCCAGGTGAGCGCGGGCACATCTTGTTCCAATCTGCGGGCCGCAGTGCCACCCACAGGCTCTGTCGGGGCGGGGTCCAGCCTGTGGAGCTGACGCCGCGACGCCGCTGGGCATAGCCGGACCCAAAGCAGCAATTTCGCTTGGACTCTGACACGCAGAATTGGAGTCTCATAGGAAAAGCAGCCTGCTTGCTCCTCACGCCGGGCGGCTCCCTCCCCCCACCCCCACCCCGGGGCGCTGCAGGCGCTCGTCACCCGACGCCCAACAGGATTTTGAAGCCACTTCCCCACCCAGCTCAGGAGTCTCCACCTCTTTCCAGGCGCTCGCATTCCAGGGTGCTGGGACCTAAACCCCTGAACCCTATGAGCTTAGATGGGGTCTTCACCTCCCCCAATACTCTTCCCTTCCTTTCCCAGCACAGCTGAGGACACTTCAGAGCTTCTTGCTAGTTTTCAAAATTCTTAGCTCTCAGTAATCTGGGAAGGGATTCTTTATTCCTCACAGTCCCCATTCTTCCATTTCAATGTCCGTTATTGTACTTACTCCCATGACCCCAACCTAGGGCTACTTCCATCCTCAAACTATACCCCCTCAGAAGTTCTGGTTCCTAATTCAGCTGCAGTGAGCTCCAGCCGTCTCCTCTTACACATAGACCCTCTCTCCACCAGCTGCTGACCCCCTGACCTGGATGGGAGCCTGGCTCACCTAACACTCCCACCTTTCTGGCAAGATTGTCGCTGGGGCCTCTAAAGTGCTTTATAAATTGAGCTGCTCTCCACGCAACTCCACATCTGGAGCCCAATTATTTCCTCATGCCCTTTGTTTCTCCCATTATTACTCTCAGTCTAGCTCCTATCTCTCTGCATCCTCCCTGCTTCACCCATCAGCAAAATGCTACTGTTACTGATCACACAGTCCCTAGAATTTCGCTGAATCCCACTGACTTCAAGAGAGTTTACCTTTACAGCAATCAGACGCAGGTTTCAAACCCTCTATCTTACTAAAGGAACCCTGGTGGCACTGTGGTTGAGCACTTGACTGCTAATCATCAGCCATTCCTGGGGAGAATCTTTAAAGATTCAACACTCTTTCCTGTTGAGTCAGAACCCTCCGCTGGGTGTTCAGAGGCTATAAAACTAATTTGAGGAGACTGTCCATCTTTCTCCCTGGAGCAGCTGGTGGAATCTATCTCCTGCTTTTAGTTTGGCAGTGCAACTCTTAAAGTGCTAGGTTACCAGCTAATTCCTATGGGTCAGTTTGACTCTACCCTACGAAGCCACTATGACTCAATTTGACATTGGTGGATTTTGGTTTTGGACTCTTCCCTACATCAGCTTTTAAAATCATGCCTTCTGAATGCCCGGCTTTTATCACAACTCTGTTGGGAAATTATCTGTAAATAATTATTCCTTCCTTGCTTCCTCTCTCCAGCATGCAGTTCTGCAGCTAATCCTCTTGCTTACTTTGGTGAACATGCTTATGGGAAAGCAAAGCTAACTAAAATTACGGTAGTTTGTGCCCTCCTTCGTGACAAAATATATTTTAATACAACAGGTCCTGACTCTTCTGAGCTTCCACTCCTGGGTGACCTTCATTTGGCTGGACATCTCTCTTCCCTCATCTCTGCCTGCTAGCTTGTTTAACCTCTTTTATATCTCAAGAGATTGACACAAGATAGACCCTACACTAATCCTGTCTCAATAATCTAACAAAGACAACTCATTCCCAAATGGGATTAGAAACACGTAAATTAGGATTTACAAGGCCGATTTCGAGGGACATAATTCCACTCGTAAGAGTAATGGGGTGGGGTTTTTTTTTTAAGTGTTTTGTTTTTAATATAACAGCAATTTTAAACAATGCCTCTTTAAGCCCCGTACTGGAGACATTCGCTAAACTGGGCTTTCAGCTAAACTATATTAAAAACTGAAAGACTGGTTTCTATTCCACAATCCATTAAATATTAAAGTTCCTTGAGAATACAGTCACAGGAACTCAATCCTAAATTTCCCAGAATCAGGCCGTCTTTCAATATGTATTAAATTTGTGGTATAATAGCTGTAAACTTTTCCATCCCTGGAAAGATCTTTGCCTCAGTTACGTAGAACAATCCTAAATCTATGAGAAAATCTTACTTGAGAGAGGATCCAGCTAAAGAGCTAACTCTCATTTTCTACCTATAGTCTTTTTTTATTGAATTTTTACTGCACAACTGGGGACTTCACTTTAAAAGTTCAGTAAACATAAAACACTACACTTGTAATTGTTACAGGTAATTTAATTTACAGGGAAATCCCTATGGTATTACAGAAGATGTTTAAAGATGACCTGGGAACCAGTAAAACTGATATTTATTAATGTAACTAACCAACCATGGACCTGGCACTTCACCAAGGACCCTTGTAATAAGGATTTAGAGTCAAACCCTTTCCCTAAAAATTCACATGGGAAGCAATGTGCCTCTTTGTGGGGCTAGAGGCAAAAAAAAAAAAAAAAATCCCACAAAACTGTGACGTCTCTTTCTTAACACAGATGCAAGCATTCCAGTCTACAATAACTACTTTTTATCTGGCTAATTTCCCACTTGTCAAAAACAGACACACTCATATAAATATAAAAAAAAGAGAAATCAGATTGCTGATCTATGAATGATAAGGGAAGACCTGTAAGTAGGTAGGCAGATGTTTCTACTGGTAGCATTAAAATACGGTGCAAAACAGCCTGTCAAAGTGAAAATTCAGCGCAAATAGCAAATACTAATAAAATTTCTTATTTAAGAATTTACTATTTCACTTAAAAGAAAAACAAGACTCAATATTCAGGATAAATTCAAAGAACTCAACAGTAGAATTTCTTGAAAGCGTGGCCTCCTCCCTGTTCATGCAGTGGCCAACTAGAAGGTAAAGGAGGGTGTCTGTGTTTCTGTTTGGGAGAGAGAGAGAATGGTCTAAGTTAAGAGAATGAAGCCCCAAAGAGCCCAGCCCTGCTTATTAAAACCGTTTCTGGGCACTTGAGAGGTATAAAGCTGGTCCTCATTAACCCTGCATATCTCTTCCCTTATCTCCAAGTTTGCAGCACCGTTTCCTAAATCCTGAAAAAGGGAATGTTCCCTTTAATACTTTTGCTAGCATCACCTTGACTTTCAGGAAGTAAAAATATAAACGTGGCTCTATTTCCCCACTCACTCCCATTTTGTTTCAGTAATTGCCAGCAAGCCATCCATCTCTAAAAGAGGAGGGAGGGCACAGAAACTTGCCCTTAGCCCTATCGAAGGGGTGGGGGGGAAAGATCTGTGGAAAGCGTGTGGCTTCCTATCCGAGGTACCTCCTCCTCCAGCCACAACGCACCACAGCCATTGCGTCCTCCGCAGCCACTACCTGAGCTAAACTGGCCAAGCTCCCTACCCACCCGATTAGGGCGTTGCTCTCTTTTAAGACAAATCCTGAACAAAGAAGGATACTTTTGTGGGTCGTTTAACTGTGAAGACAAGGAAACGGAAATCAATGTCAGAGATTCTTCCAGAGTAGCGGGGAGGCTACTTAGGCTGGCGTCTGGCTTCCTGAGTGTCCCATCAAGAGGTGAGGGCGGCCGTTGGAGGATTGTCCAGGCTGCCAAAGGGTTAAATATTTGCGAAGGGTAAAACCTGAGCCTCTCTTTTTGTGTGTGTGCTTGCCCGGGGGCCTACTGGAGAGAGATTCAGTATCTCTTGGTTATTTCCTGCGATCGCTAAAGCCAGTTTTCAAGAAAACAAGTCACAGGGGTTTGAAATGTCACACCAAGTGACCTGGGCACGGCATATCCAGGGGCCATTCCCAGCTCCCTCCCACCCGGACCGTCCCCACCCCCTCCATTTCAGGTCTGGAAAGAAAATAAACCAAGGACACGCCAGACTGGTTCTGGGTGGACTTATTTTCCCCAGCAGCCTGGGTCCTAGCGGGGGCTTGTTGTGGCTCCCTCAGCGTATCGCTTGCAGGTGATGCCAAATGCAGATAAGGAGCCGCCGCCCGGCCTTCTCCTCTGTCTAGACTGGGGAATTAATAAATGCAGCGAGATTGATCACGTCGCGCATCCACTCTGGGGACAACGCGGAGGACGAGCCGTCAAGGCCTCCCTCTGAGCCTGTCCAAGGTCGGCTCCTCTGCTCGCCTGAAGCCTGCAAGCGGGCCTCGCTGCTCTACGGGGGGGAGGTGGTGGGCAAGGATGAGGCCCCCCGGACAGAAAGAGGAAAATACCGTTAGGAGGGCCCTGGTGCTCCGCGCCCAAAGTGGAGCGAGCGGGCACCAGCTCTCGGGACCCGGCGAGCAGAAGTTAGGGGAGGCCAAGAGACGGGGCTCAGGCCGGAGCCCGCCACAGGATGCCCAGCAGCCTCCAGCACGCGCGCCCCGACGGCGCGCAACCGGGAGAGCGCGCTAGCGTCGGCAGGTCCGCGCTCCCGCCCTTGGCCCGGCTCCGCCCCCGCACGGCGCCCAATCCCCGTCGGGCCCGCCTCCTGCCGGGCGGGCGCACGCGGTTCGGGCGCGCGAGGCTTGGGCTGAGGCCACGGAGTGCCGCGCGCACCCCTGCACTCCCGCTCGGCTTGGAGCCGACTGACTTTCGTTGACATAAACTTAGGTCTCCAATTCTCGCGGATCCAGCCCTCCCCCTGTGCCACAGGACAACAGGAGCGGCGTCGAATCGAATTATTTTTTATTAAGATCAAAATATTCGTCCTACTATGAACGGGCTGTTCTTACAATAAATAACAATAACTTACGTTTGTTTGTTCGGCAAAAGCTCACACACACTCTGTCCTCCATCGACTGATAATTTAAAACCTTTTCAGAGAAAGTCTCAACTTTGTCCCTAGCAATCATGCGCTTTGGGGGTTGAGTGTCCGTTCTTTGGGTTTTTCTCCGTTCCTCTGACCCTCCAAGGCTGGGCGAAGCCGCCGGGGAGTGCAGGGCGCTGAGGGCGGGAGCCCGGTGAGCGAGCTTAGAGCTGGCGCGGCGCAGGAAGGGCCTGGCGTGTCCCCCGAACTCCGGGTGGGCGGGTGGGTAGGGGCTGCAGAGAGAGCGAGCTGCGGCGGCCGTACGGAACGTAGGGGTGTCCGGGGCAGAGCTAACTCTTGGAAATTCCAAATTCTGGTTCTGAAAAAATAAAAAGTCTTCGGAGCAGGGGTCTCCAGCCTGGTGAAGAGTAGGTTGCGTCTCGTCCCGGAGCTCTTGGCTGTCTCAATGGCTTCTCTCTGGCCCTCTCTCTTTAAATAACAATAATAAGCATTTAAAAGGCGAGAGAGTTTTTGAAGCTGGAAAGGCCAGAGCGTGGGTGAGTCTCATGCAGGGAGCATGCGAGGTCCGCCGGCGGGCGGGCAGGGGTCCCCCTCACGTTTCCACGGGACTTGGCACCATGCTGTTGGGGGTATCCGGGAGCTGCGAGGAGAGGGAGGTCACGTCGCTGCCGGAGGAGTTGCCCAGGGAGCCGGACTCGGAGAAGGACACCTGGGGCGCCGTAAACAACGGAGGGTAAGTGAAGTCACACGCGTGGATGCTGGGGGGGGGGCTCATGTTCCCAGGAGAGGTGTCCCTGGGGGGGTCGGCCTTCGCCTGAGAGCAAGCCCGTAGGAGAGAGCGGCCAGTTCCCGAGCACACCCTAGGGTTTGGGGCTAAAGGGTGCAGGTTTGTTAATCCCTGCGACCTCACCCGCGCTTAATTAGGGAATTAACATGTACTGGCTGGGAAGCGGCTGCAGTCATTCCGCTTCCCCACTGCAACCCCACTGCTGAGGACTATTCCCCACATCTCAGCCCCTTCTTTCCTACATCTTCCCCACTGTGCGGTGCTACCCCCCCTCCCCCAGGAGGGTCTGTGGGCGTAGGGAGGCCAGGCTGGCCGGGGCTCACCAGCTGCTGGAAGGCGGGCTGGTCCAGGTCGCTCTGGAGCGCGAACTCGCTGAGCGCTTTCCACGGCGGCTGGTACGTCTGCACCTCCACGGCGCTGCCCTGCACAGCGCTCTCGTGGTGGATGGGGCTGCCCGCCACCAGAGGCGTCCCGGTCAGGCCCTGGAGGCTCTGCGGGGCAAGGGGGTGGGGGGCTTTCAGTTAGCTCTTGCCTTTCCACTTGAGACTGAGACCGGAGACAACTGAGAACGACCCAGAACCTGTTATGAGGGCAGGTGGGCAGGTGCAGGAAGGAGGGGGAATACGGTCCTCCTTCCACTTGGGCCACCGACCCGCCGCTATTGCCTTGCCCCAGTACCGGGAAATAAGCTCGCAAAGAAACCTGACGCCTCAGCTCTCTCTCCCAAGGTATGCAGAGGGAAGGGGTTCAAATCGGGTTTGACTTGGTGCGTCCAAACCATTTGGCCTTTGGCTTTTCCCTATGACCCAACCTCACATGCAATAATTGTGGGGCCTTGAACCCAAGGCAAGCCTTGTTCTGAAGGCACAAACATAAATTATTTGGAGGGTCTGTTTTCCCCCAGATCTCTCGAAAGCGAGAGCTAGTTAAGAAAAGAGCAGGCAGGCGCCGCGGGCGAACCCGAAGTCCCACCCGGACGGCTCCTCTGGCTGCAGCCCCCTCACCGTCTTGTCGTTGTGCTGCTGCTGCTGCAGCTGCTTCATGAGGATGGATTTCTTCTTGTCCTTGCAGCGCTTGTTCTGGAACCAGACGCGGATGACCCGCGGGCTCAGGCCGGTCATCTCCACCAGCTGCTCCTTCATGAGCGCGTCAGGCCGCGGGTTGGCCGCGTAGCACGTCCGCAGCGTGTGCAGCTGCTTCTCATTGAGCACAGTGCGCACGCGGGTCGTCTTCTCCGTCTGCTTGTGCACGTGCGGGCGCAGCGAGGGCTGGCGGCCAGCCCCGGGCTCTGCGGGGACCGAGGGGCGCGCAGTGAGCTAGGGGCTGCTCCCCACCCGACCCGTCCCGGGGCTTCCCAAACTCTCTAGGCCCAGATTTCGTTTTGCTTTGGGTTTTCGTTCATTTCTTGTTGGTCTCCATCGGTTCGCTTTTGGTGAAGGGAGCTGTGCGTTTCGTCCCTTCTCCTCGCTCCCTGGCCGGGCTGCGTGCGGGCAGCAATCTCGCTGGGGAGCAAGCGGGGGACCGGAGCTGAGCGCTAGGCCGCTGCGGACCGAAGAGGCCTCCCCAGGCTCTGCCTTCTCAGCTCTCCGCCCCAGCTCGGTCCCCGCAGCCAAGTGTAGTCCTCCGGAAGAAGTTGGAGGGTGTGAGGAAAAGGAAGGAGGCGAGCACGCGGGTCCGACGTGGCCCTGTCTTCGGGTTAGGGGTTACATGTGCAACTCTGGAGCTTTCCCCACCTTCAGAGTCCGCTTGGACCCCGCCGGCCTGGCGCACGGGCGGGCCTCCCTAGCTAGGAACGTTTCCCTGCCCCCAGGGCTCCAGGCTCCCTTCCCCAGAAGGCGGCCACCCAGTCTCGGTCTCGCACTGCGTTAAAACAGGGCCTAGTACTGGCAGTCTGGGGCAGGGGTGCGCTCAATTCCAGCTTCCTCAAGCTCCACAAGTGCATCTCAATCCGACTGCACGCACACACATCCTCACACGCATCTATGCCGCACTGTTTCGGTTTAGTGTCTCTCCAGGCATTTCTAGATCTATTTGCAAACAACCCATGGAGCCCAATCCTCCGCATCCTCCAGGGGAGAAAAGGGAGGTCTGGAGAGGCGAGGGGCGCTGCAAAGCCGCACAGCACAGCAGGCGCAGCCGATTCACAGATCCTTCAGGCCTGCGGCGACCTGCCTGGGCCCCGGGTGCTCGCTGTTTCTCACCAACCTCACTGTAGACACTCAGGCCCTATCCCTGGGAGCTCCTGGTTGGTACTGATCCCCCACTCTAACTGCATTCAGAAGCATTTGGTTAAATTGTCCATCAAGGCAGGCCTCAAAAAAGCAAACACAGACGCCTTGCCTCTTTGTCAGGTGGGTGGCCTTCAAAGTCGCCTTTACCTCCCGGCTCTGGGCTCCCGGCTGGCTGAGCCCAGGCCCCGCTCACATCGCCCAGGGCTGCCTTTCCTCTCTGACAATAGAACACCTATTCTGGGAAGAAATTCCGAAGGCAAGTCCCTCTGACCAGGATCACTAAAGATACCTTGCTGTCACTCATTCTCTTGCTTTCTGCACTCTGTCTCACAAATTTCTGGTCACAGAGAAAACAATACCCCTCCGTCACACTATTCTGGTACACACTGCCCTCCACACAACTTCTCCCTGGACACAGGAACACACACAGCCCAACGTCCCTACCACACAGCTCGGCGTTCATACCAAACCCCACAAGCCTGGCAAACGGAGCCACACACAAGTGGTCATTTCACGTCAGAAGTACAAGCAATCGCCCTTCACCTACCCCCCCCCACACACACACACAAGCCCCTGGGCCCCCTCATGGCCCATGGGCAGCCAGGGCCTGCGCGCCGCTTACCTGGCAGATGCAGGCCGCGGGCGCCGGAGAGCGGACCCGGACTGCGCGGACTGCCGGCCGCCGCGCGCTCCAACAGGAGGCCGTGGTCCGCGCGGCAGAGCAGCTCATGCTCCCGCAGAGAGAACTCGTCCCCGGGCAGGAGCTGGCGGCTGCACACGGAGCAGCGGAAGCACTCGATGTGGTACACACTGTCCCGCGCCCGCATCACTAGGTCGCTGCTGCTGAAGCCCACCTGGCACTTAGCGCACTTGATGCCGAAGAGCCTGTGGGGCCAAGGCGCGGGCGGCGTGAGTGCGGGGCTGCCCTAGCCTCCCAAGGTTTTCACCCACTCGGGGCACGTGCGCCCAGGGCTCTCCAGGAGGCCGCAGGGAAGCCCCGCGGGAGGCTCCCTGGGCCGGGAGGCGCGCCGGAGCGCTTGTTGGGGGCGGGGCGCGCGGCCGGGTGGCTGGTTTCGAACCCGGGTCCCAGCAGGCGGTGGCCGCGCCCCGGTTGCAGCGGGCCTCACCTGACGTAGTCCCGCTTGCAGTAGGTCTTCCCGTCCCTCACGAAACACGTGCACGTCTCGTCCAGGTACTGGCTGCACTCGGCGCACTTGAGGCAGGCGGCGTGCCACTCGAGGTCGGGCGACACCCGCAGGATAAACTGGTCGTGAATTTGACTCCCGCAGCCCACGCACATGGCCGTCCCGGGCTTCTCTGCCGGGGAAGGGCGCAGGGCCCGCGTCAGGCCTGGCTGCTAGGACCCCAGGCGGCCTCAGCCATTCCAGCCCCAACCCCACCCGCTCGCTCTCGCGCGCTCTCGTTCAGGAATCGCAACCACAAGGAGAAGGCAAGAGATGGGCTTCCTGCAAGTCCAGACAATTGGAAACGAAAACCCCGATCCTGATGCATTTACGAGTGCTTTTTGCCTTACCCAAGAAAGATTTTCGTTATGACTTTCACTGAGACGCACCTTTTCTCGACTTATCTTGTAACTAAATGCTCACACGGAGGTGAGAAGAACGAGTAATTGGATATTAGGCACTGCGGATGCCACCGCATCAGTACAAACAGCGGTGCTCAAGCATTTCCGCCCTCACACCGGCTCTTAACCGAGGCTCCCTCCGATCTGGGCACTGACACATCCGCCCGTCCTCGTTGACATTCCTTAGTTTAAATACCCCAATCAAGTTAGAGAAATCGCCCTGATTGGAAAGACCAGCACACACACATACAAATTTTAAAAAGCCCGCATCCTATACTCAGCAAACCTAGTTTCCCTAGCGCAAAACAAGCACATTTCACAGCCTGAGAGGTCAGTCTCACCGGCTCAAGAAATAATGTTTAATTGGGAAATGAAACAACGGAATTCCAGAGGGCAAGCAGGTCTGCAGGAGAAATGCATTCGTTTTATTTTGTTTTCTCCCCGACTGTCCTGGTCCTGTCCAATAGAAGCCACTTGTAGAATCCGTTAAACAACCTTCTGCATCAGAAACATTGCACATGAAGCACACGCATCCACACCCACATGCACAGAAAGAAAGACTTACTCTTGGAATGATCCCCCATAGCACCCAGAAAAGGATAATGAAAAATGATATCCACCATGCAGAAAAGAGATGTGCGGAGAGTGTGCGGCCGGGAGCGGAAGGACGAGGGTCGCGCGCCCAGCCTCAGCTCTTTGCTAACTAACTCCTCCTGCCCCGCGGAGTTGAGGGAGCGATTCCGCACCGGCCCGCACGCAGCATGACGTCAGCACGCACTCGCCCCGGGCCGGAGCTGGGGGCGGGACCTGTGGCGTCACGAAGCTTCCCTAGAACCGCCGGGGGGAGATGATGGGGACCTGGGGGCTGATGGGCGGGGCGGGAGGGAGGAAAGCGGGGGACGAAGGAGGATTGGCTGGAAAGAAGTAGGCAAAGCCTCATTGGCTGGGAGTGAACAATGGAGCGCAGCCCCCACCCTCGAAATCTACAGGCTCGTCTTTCTGGCCCTGGTCGGCCGATCCGGGCTGGACCGCTCATCCCCGCCACCGAGTGGCTCCGCGGCCACCGGCTCTGAACCTCCCATGGGCTTTCAGGGCCATCCCCCCTGCGTGCTAGAGCGCAGTGATGGGGTAATGGATACTTGGGGTGGAGAGGAGTCTTCTTTAAAAGCAACTTTCACATAAAAGTGGGAGGAAATTACTCTGTTGAGGAGAAGGGGCTAGGGGAGACAAGGTTCCCTTTGGACCATCTCTGGTCACCTTTCTCCTTTTGAGCGCCTTTGTTCTCAGAGTCCAAGCTGGAGGAAGACTAGGGAATAACAACTTGGAGTTGAGTCAATTTTTAAAAGAATGTTTAGACTTAACCTCCACTGAGTCTGGAAAACTCTGAGTTGGAATAAGAGGGATAATCCAGCGCCGGAATACAGAATTCTAAAACGCTGTCCAAGGATGGGTCTCGATTTGGTCCTAGACCTGCATTTATTTTATTTATTTATTTTAATAAAGTCTACGGGGACTTCCTTTGCTCGAATAGCATTAGCTCCTTCTAGGAACACTGCTAGGGTCGAATATGTGTCTGATATCCAGGATAAACGATGGGGGGTTTTTCCCTCCCCACAAACTCTTCTGTTTCATTTCACAAACCAACTGCAATGCAAATAATCAGAAACAAATGTGGCGCGCAGGGTAATTTACTATCTGTGCAGCAGCTTCACAGTCCTTAGAAAACCTGTGATTTCTGAGCGGGTGGGGGAATTGTTTCTTTCAAAGAAATCGTTGTGGATTTCGTTTAGAAAGGGTTCAAAGATGGGCGCATGAATGATAAATAACACTTATCCGAACACCGTGGCTGTTGTTTTGCCGTTGAAAGGTGGATCAAGAACATGGTTTAGTGTGCTAGGGTGGGGCACGGGAGGCCTGGGAACACAGCGTCTCCTCTGGAATCTCTGGCCAGGTCCAGGTCCCCGCGGGCACGTCAGCCCAAGGGGGTGGCTGTTCTTCTAAAACCCCTGGGTTGGCTGGTCTCTAGGTTGCCTGAGGGGAAATGGGGTCTGCTAAGGACTTTGCGGAGAGGATCCTGGGTGTCGGGGATTATGGTCCACGGTCCAGCTCCCCACCAGTGAGCGCTCATTGTCCGCCTGCACTTCACCCCGGTGGGGGATGGGGTGGGTCTCAATGCCAACTAGTCTTCGAATTTGCACATCTATGCTCCTCACCTGTCAACCACTACCAACCACTTGCACTTTTAGCTAGTAACTCCCCAAACCACACCAACCTTAGTGTGTGCGGAACCCATTGGAGAAGGAAGAACGCTGAAATGCAATGAATGTGTGTGTATGTAAACAAATGCAGAGGACCCGGGTGAACCCTAGTTTCTGCTCCAAGCCCCTGGTATGACCTCAGGCATCTTATTTTAATTCTCTGCCTCCTCACTCAGTTTCCTCAAGTGTAAAACGAGGGGATAAAAATAATAGCGACCTGTACTATTGTAAGAATTAAATAAACCATCCTGTGCAAGCCAACTGGTACTCTTACAAAAGGAAATACACTATTCTGTGCAGTCACTTCCAGTAAAGATTTACAGCCTCAGAAACTCGCTGGTCATTCTGAGGATCACTCGAGCGTCATTATGAATCTGAATCTACTTCCTAGCAATGGTTTTGGATATTCTGTGTAAATGGCATAACTGGCACACAGTAAGTGCGCAATGCATCTTTACTGTATTTGTCATTACGTACAGATCTTTGTGTGGGAACGTGTGTGTGTTGCCTAGATGAGTCTGGCTCTGTAGAGGAGGCGTAAATATCTCCCCATGTATTCATCTTAGGCTTTATGTGCTTCCATGTATCCTGCATGTGTGTGCTCTGAGAATTGTGTGTGTGCATGTGTGCAGTCTGGACATTGGGAAGAGGCTACCACACGGTGTGCATGTTTGAGTGTGAATGAGGCGGTGCTTTAAACAGGAGCAAGCACATCAATAATTCAGGGCAGGCAACTGGGCAGGAATCCTAGGCCCGAGTACAAACTCTCTCCTTTTAGTTGAAGAGTCCCTCTGCCTGGTCAGAAAATCCTCTCTTTTGGGGTCTAATAGAGAGGCAGGAGGCAGGGGAGGATCTCATTTTCTGTTAAGGGTGGAAGGAGCTAGCAGTTTTTCTTCAAACCCTTAAGAACTATTTGTTTGTTCAATGTCCACCAAGTGCAATGCTCCTGTTAAGACAGTAGCCTTATTGGACCTTTACAGCCATGCTGTAAAGTGAATAGTATCAGGTCCATGTAATCAGTAAGGAAACAGGTCTGTCCAGGTCTGTCTGGCTAGAGAAAGCCCTGTAGTTCTAGTCTGCTATCCTAAAGGTAACTGGTTCAAATCCATCAGCAGTTCTGAGGGGAAATGATAACCATCATATGAGATTTATAGTCTCCAAAAACTCAGTGAAGGGTCAGCTATGAGTCTGTTTTGACTTTCAGCTTAGCAATGAGTTGTGTCTGGCTCTATCTCCCTTGCTCTTTTTCACTGCACCAGCCTAACATAGATATGGGCACTACCACTCATCAGATTCACTTCTCCCACATTCTAAAACCGATAACTTATCTCACCATCCTGCCACAGGGGTCACAGCCTGACCCTCCCTCCTGGAACGATATTAGAGCACAGAGAAGTCTCTAGGGATTCCTTTCACATCCACCCATCCTCTCCTCCAGTCACTGCTACCTAAAACTACTCACAAATTCACTAAAGTGCAGGCTTACTGTGCAAAAAAAAAAACCAAAAAACAAAAAACAAAAAAACCTTTAGAAGAAGGAAACAAAGAACAGGTGACTGTCCACACTTTCTTTAGTAATGGCAGTTTCTAGCCTGAGAACAAGAAAGAGAGAGAGAAAAAAGAAAAAAAAAAAGCAAGCAGGACAGTATTAGCCAAGAGGCCATGGGCTGGGAGTGGAGGGAATTCATGAAATCAGGCCAGGCCACCAAAAAGACTTTTATAATTTTACAGTTTTGCTGAGTCAATCCTCCCATCCTTGTTTTTTCCCTTTCTTCTACGACTCTGAAACCAGAAAGCTGGAAGGGCTTTTGGAAACCTGTTTCCAGACTCCTGTTTAAGAAGTTGTAGTTTAGACAGTGGAAGAGACTTACTCACAGTCATGTGGCTCCAGCTGGGACCAGAAAGAAGACTCTGGACTTCTAGATCATGTATGTGCCTCCCACTCCTTCCTGTCACCAAATCTCTTGGCTCTCCCAGCCAGAGCTCTCTCCTCTCTTCGTGGGGACTCAGTACAGATGAAGTCCTCTGTGCTGGTGGGGTTTAAGGAAAACAGCCACCCTGCTTCCAGACCAGAGGGCCAGAGCTGGCAGTGGTGTGTGCCAGTGGGCGCTCTTGCTAAGAGGAAGCAGCGATAGGCATGTCCTATCTGCCAGGGTGGAGAGGCTGAGAAAGCAGCTTTCCTGAGGCCAGGGCACTGAGCCTCACTAGCAGTTATTCAGTCACAGCAGTTTTGCTGGGAATGTGTTGTGGGCTTTCCTTTCTCTAAAACAGTTTAAGATCACAAGACAAAGAAATCCTCACGGTGGTCATTTTCTCTTTGCGGTAATATGTAGAGGGGATATGAGCAGGCCCAGACAGCTTCTCCAGGCTCACATGGGCTCCCATGACCTACCTCTCTCTCCCCCCACATCGACCCTTCCCACTCCCCACCCTCTGCCTTCTCCACTTAACTGCCTTTCCAAGTCTTACACAATCGGGCATCCCTTACCTGGATGAAAAAGATGCTCTATCCTAGTCTTTTGGATTCACAAGTGAGGGGTGGATTCGGGGGCTATCCTATCTTTGATATCATCATCACACCTAATTACTATCTTTATCTGCCCAACATTTCTAGGGAAAAGTAATCAGTGTTAAAACTATCCCTATCTTACAGGTAATAAAATAGAAGCTTGAAGAGATCAGGTGATTTGTCCCAGATTACACAGTAGGGAATTCTGGTGATCTCCTGGATAGGGAGTTTTGCTGCCAGTCCCAAGGCTGGCAGTTTGAATCCACCAGCTACTCTGCTGAAGACAGATGGGCCATCTCATTCCATGTGTTTACAGCCTCTCACAGGGTCAGCTAGAGTCGGCTCTCACTCAACGAGTAGTGGTGGTGCTGTATAGTTGGAGGAGCCATGATCTGGACCAGGCTGTCTGTGTTCAGACCTGTCCATGTAACTGTTGCATTATGTTACCTCCTAATTACAACATTGGACCCTGAGCACCATGCCCATCCAGTACAGGAGAAGAGAAGCTTTTTGCTCATGGTATATACATTAATCCTCATCGTGAATACCATAAAGGAAGCTGGGATTAGTTGATCTGTTACTCAACACGTTCTTGTCAAAGGAGGAGCCTAGATTCTGTGATGGGTAAGGGTGGCCATGGAAAGGGATTGGGCTTGGTGGTTTTGGGGGCTATTTTAGAGGCTGCACCTTGCCTGACTTTCCAGAAGGGGGAGCCCCAGCTGACTCAGCGTGTCTGTCAGTGGAGTCACTGGTGCTGAAGCTTGCAACCCCACCTTTCCATGGTCCAATTTTTTTCTAGAACTCTTTTCCTCTTGCCAAGATCCTCCTAAGTGAGTAGGTTTCTATGTGAGGTCTT